ACAAAATCCTTAATAAGGAAGGTGAGGCTGAAATTTGTACCTTTCATCCCTCCCAAAGGCCCAGAGTGTTTCTGTATGAACTGGGGCCCTGTTACCAGACTTTTAAAATTGGAAACTATTGAGTAAGTTGAGGGCACTCATTTGCAATTGTCAGCACCTCTGTAACTCATCTTCCAGCAAATAAATAGCAGAGAACCTGCTGTTTGCTTTCTGGTCTTCTCCTGCTTCACAGTCAATATAATCAGGACTCAGTTTATGGCAGCTAGCAGTTTTTCAGAAGAAACCAGCTCTACTCACAAAGCCAGTTTACACACCAGTATTCACATACACAGTATGTATTTCTCAGTCCATCACCCTGTTTCTCTCACAGTGTAATGAAAGTTTGATAAATAATTCTAACAGACAGAACACATTTGCAAAAGGATCAGTTCCCTCCCATATTGAAAATATTGAATCTGCTATTTTGGGAATACTCAGCTCAGCTGGCTCAGACCAGATATGTTTTTCCTTATTGCTGTTTTGTTTTAAGACTTAGCTGCAGCAAGGCACTGCTTTGTAATGGGCATAGTATGGTATTGCCATAGTCTATCCAGTATGACAGTATCCACCTATCAGACAGCCTCAGATGCACAGAAGGCAGAACTGCAAGGTGTCTGCAAGAAGTGGCAGGCAGAAAGGGTAAAGCAGTTGCCCAGCCTCTTCTTCAGGATGCAAGTCCTCACAGTCATCCTGTTAGACACAGCTGAAGAGTACATATGACCTGCAGCACTGCACAGCCAGAGGAGGTTTGCTGTGCTTGCCACAGCACTGCACAGCCCTATGACCACATCACCTGAAGTCCATGGGTGATGAGGTGTTGTCTGTCCTACAGGAATGATGTTATCTGCTGCAGCCAGTAAGCTTACAAACTCCTCCATGTGGCTGAGCTGCCCTGGTAGGTTGATAGGTTGGTAGGTCAAACTTGTTTTCTGTACTGGTACGGATCTTGAGCTATTGCAACCCATGGGCTTTTGCAGCCCATGTTTTGTAATTCAGGGTTTCATCTTCTGCATATACTGCAGAGTAGATAGGAAGGAGCCTGCGTGAAAGCAAAGTCATATCTTTACACTAGAATGCAAGCTGTTTTCAAAGAAGATAGATACTGTTTATAAAGTTTGTATCTGTGGACAGTAATGGTTTGGACTACACCTAGTTAGAAGTCCACACACTCCCTGAAAAAAGATGATCTGCCTGAGTCAGAGGCAGGAAAAAAGCACCATGAAAGCAGGAAGTGGGGCCCCCAAAAGCTCAAACAGTTCTTTGTCAGGTAAGGGAGTTTCTGAGCAAAGAGGTTTTCTACTACTTTTGTGCGTGTGGCACACATGTTAAACAGGGCTATCTACGTAGTATAAATGCTGCATGCTGATTGGTCATCTTTCTTTTTTCCTCCAAAAGGAACTTCGTAGCAATACTTTTCACAGCTGGCTATCAATCCCACGGATTAATTTCTCAGGTGTCTGACATGTGACTCTGGGAATGGGTTTGGAGATATGGTGACGCTCAACTAGGACTGCAGTCAGGGAACACTGTCCTCTTAAGCTGTAAAAATACTTAGTCAAAGCTTTGATACTGAACTCCAAAAATAGTGACTACTTTTGACCTTGATTACATATCAGTGATGAAACTGTAATATGCATCGTAATGTTACTGGATTGGTGATGAAAAAATAGCTTTGGAAACTTTATACATTAATATATAATATTTCACACATGTATCTTATAACCTTGGAAATCCTACGAGGAACTTAGTGTTTTCATCTTCAAGCTTGGTTTGAATAATACTCAGTAAGGAGAAAACAAAGTGGACAAGGAAAACAAAGGTTGAAAGGGTTGAAAGGTTGAAAGGGTTGAAAGTTTGAAAAGGTTGAAAGGGTTGAAGGGTTGAAAACAAGGGTCACCTCTTTGAAAAAAGATGTGACCATGGATTCTCTGATGTGTACTGATAACTGCAAAGAATCAAAACCTACATTTTGAGTGAGGCCAATCTAGGCAGTTATTTGGGTTACTCTGGAGACTACATAGAAGTTAAGTGGCTGCCTGACCACCTTAGAAGATTCAGGGGACCTTCAGGAACACAATATAGACAGTGAATGACTATATGAGGTAGCTGGTTGTGCTGCCCTTGGAATGTTGGTTTACACATCACTTTCATGAATGAAACTTAAAAGTAGAACTCATTTTAGGTTTAAATGTCCTCTAAAATTTGTTTCAAAGTATCTTGAAGGACTGAAGATGTTTAACCTGAAAAATATCTTCTTGTAAATCGTGTAGAAGATTTAATTCTATTAAGATAAATCTTCTACATGATTTACGAGAATAAGCAGTGATTAGACTGATTAGAGAAGATGCAATAAATTCTTTTTCTTTGGACAGATCATTTGAGTTAAAATTCATTGCATTTCTAAAGCAAAAGTAACAAGGAATAATTACATTCTGTTACAAAGAAATAATGATTTTCTGCCTTAAGTAAGTTGAATGAAATTCCATGATGAGAATGAAGCAGGATGTCTCTTTAAACCACTTTTACAGTGGTTGAAACACTGAAAATATCTGAAACAAGTTTTTAATTGAATGAATTTAAATAAATAAGGAAAAAATAAACCTAGAAATTAAGAATTCAGGATAATAAGCAAAATACAAAGATGAACTCATTATTTCCTTGGGAAAATCTCTACGATTTTTATTATATAAGCATTATCTAGAGATTAATGAAGGTCTAAGCAGTGATTATAAAGTCAAAGTGATGGAATTTCACATTTTGTGCAATTCTCTTTCACTTTGCAGCACTGGAGGCATTTACTCTTCACTTTCTGCCTTGCCAATTTCACGGTTCTTGGCTCGGAGCTTGTTGACCTGGGACTCTGCAATGTCAGCCCGCTCCTCAGCTTCTTCCAGCTTGTGCTGGATCTTGCGGAACTTGGAGAGGTTGACATTGGACAGCTCCTCCTGGGGATAGGAAGAGAGATAAAATAGCTTTAAAAATACTCAATACTTACAGAATCACAGAATCAACTGGGTTGGAAAAGACCTTTAAGATCATCAAGTCCAAGATCATCAAGTGCTTTACCCCAGCACTGCCAAGGCCACCATTAAACCATGTGACTAAGGGCCTCTTCTACACAGTTTGTGAACAATTCTAAGGACGGTGGAGGGGAAAACACAAACACAGTATTCCCCCTCCATGTGGATGGAGACTGACTTCGCACTCAGCAATACTTACAGCCTCCTCAGCTTGTCTTTTGTAGGATTTCACTTTCATTTGCAGTTTGTCTACCAGATCCTGGAGCCTGAGAATATTCTTCCGGTCTTCTTCAGACTAGAGGGGTTGGCAAACAGAAAAGAAAGTTAATTATTAGTTTCTCCACACCACAGAACAATATTTAGCCCTGGGTTGCATTGAAGAAATTTTGGTTTTCTAGGATGAAGATGTGTGAGCCCAAGGAAGCCTCCTGCCTTACCTGGAAGATCAGCTCCTTCACCCTCCTCTCATACTTGCG